TGACTCACCTTACCAGTCTCTGGTCCTGTCGCCGCTGTGCTCCGTTTCCGTTCTCGGCCGTCTGCCTCCGCTCAGCTCAGCCCCGTTCCCGCAGGGCGCGGTCGTGTCGGCTGCCCGGGCTGGGCGCGTGCCAGCGCACTGTGCGTGTGTGTTTGTCTGAGCTCTGTACGGGGGATGCTCGGCCTGCCGGGCCGTGCCGGACGGCCGGTTCGACACGGGCGATTACCTGACCGGTATCTGCCGCCCGGCAAACACAGCGACCTGGAGACGTGCTCGCTCGGCGCACGGGGACGAGTATGGCGCACTGGAGACTTGCTAGACGCACGACTCGACGCGTTCGCCGACGACGACGGACGGGGGTCGAGCTGGACGACACTGCTGACCGATGTGTCGTATCGGGGGTGTTTACGCCGCATCATTGTTAACACCTACTCGTGGTGTTAGTTAACAGTATTTTGCCCCATAAATAAATGCTGAGCTTATATTATTCGCTCATTAGCGCATTTAATTAATCGTTCTGTTTTTCGATCTGTCATTGCCATATGTTCGATGCCATCTGGCTGGTCTATAACATAACCACAATGGTTATTTACATGGGCCATAGCCAGACTGACAAATGTTCCCAGCCATCAGAATCAGCCGTTCGGCTGTATCGAATTACGCCGCTGAACATGGGCCATCAATATACGGACCAAAATGTCGGTCTGCGTCCGATCACTGCTCTGTGAGTCTGCTAGTCAGGCTGACAAGGGCTTGGAGTCTAACTTCTAACAAGTTGCACCGTTGCTGGTATTGGGTGGAAGGGAATGTTTCACAGGACATTGCAGTAGGTGCCTTGCAAATACCGGCACGGGGTTTCATTGAGAGCTGATTACCTAGTCGAGCCGAATTGCGCTCAAATCACTAGTGGTCATCTATGCCTATGCCTAGGCTGCTCGTAGTCACAACCCTTTAGTAGCTAAGATCGGAAGGGACGACCCAAGGGATGTTCCAAACTACCTGACTTGAGATATGGCGATTCGCGGGTACCATGACTAAGTTACGACTAGTTATTTATAAATAGTTCGTGTCCAACTGGGAGCTGCCCTAATGCGCGGCACATATTCATCACGTCACCTGCATTATTTAAACCTCGTGCCGCCATTACGTAACGATTTAAGACGTATAATTTCACGGATGGGCTCAGTCCCCGAGGAGCGAATCGTCTGCAAAATTTCACAGACCGTTCGTCACTCCATCTGTCCCTCTCGGCTGACCGGCGAGGTGTGTCCGTCCCGCCCCGTTATGACGTCATCCCAGTTAGCGACGTCACATCTAGCTCCGAATCAATGTCCACCGAACGTCACTGCTCCGGCCCTGCTCATTTGGAGGGCCATGACCGAGGAAGGTCGTGAAACGACGACCGCCTCCCCGGAATTCGTCGAGTTAGGGCCGCGGAGATCGTCGCGGCGAAGTCCCGCAGACCTCTGGGATTGGGTAACGATCGGAGACGAAATGTGGGAGGTCAAGTGGTCGGCCCGGCCGCTGCCGAGTTTCAAACCCCCGGAGACCGCGAGATGGTCGTTCTCGGGTCGTATACGAACCCCAGCGGATTCAGTTTGAGGGGACGTCTCATCGACGACCGGGCCGAGCAGCTCCGGAGGTTCTGTCCTCAGAGGGCTGGGGGTTTCTCAGTCCGACTGTCATGAATTTCCTCCTGCATACGAAATCGCTATGGAAAGCGAAATGGGCGGCGCGAGGTGAATAAAAGAGATCGTTCGATACTGGAGCCGTCAAATTGCGTCTGACTTCCTCTGCCGACGGAGCTGACGTATCGGCGATTTTAGACTGTATCGAAAGCGCCGCCGCCGCTCCCGTCCCGTCCAGTCCCGGCGCGGGTTAAGTCGGTACGCTGAAAGTTGTGCCGTCTGTGCCTGTGTCAGTGCCCTATCACCCGCTCGGCGAGACTCTGATGGCTCAGTGTCTGTCTCATTTGACTGCGAGCGAACCCGATAACCACAGATACATGGCGTCCACCGCGACAGAAATACAGCTTTCCGATAGATCGTCGAGCGAGATACGAGCGCGGAGAATCCATCCAATCAAAAAGGCTCCCGGCGAATTTATGTCGAAAAAGGCGACCGGAGCGGCAGCGCGACGTCAAAATGGTCCGCCGCTCGGCGCCCGGTTCTCGCTGATCCGGTCATTATCATATCTCACCCGTTCAGGTGGAATGGTCGTCGGTGGCGTCCCGTCGCCATATCACCTGTCATGGGGCGAGCGTTAGTGATCTCACGACGGCCGTAGCTCATCTCCGCCCTGCGGGACGACGAAATGAATGGTGACAGTCGCCTGCAGTTGATATGAGTTGTTTATGTACGCGAGGAACGTCCCTCTACTCCGCTGGATCTTCTGTTGGTCGGTAGATCCACTAGATTTCTCCAAAGTACAGGTCAATGCAGAACATTTTGTTGAGGTGAATGGGTTGACATCTTATTTTCAGTGTGCATACAGTTTCAATTTATAAATTAAATCCGTCATTTTCTCGTATGCGCGTGCCTGTCTAAATCATACTCACGTCCCAGTCGGGGTTTTGCCACTGACAGGTCCACACGTTTACGCTCCGCCTCCGCGACAGGTAGTTTGTTTTTCTTCACAGCGGTCGCCACTTCCCTCCCCGTCGTCCTCGTCGCCCGCTCACCGAACGTGTATGTCCTAGTACACAATGAAACAACTTACCAACGATATAGCGCTCGTGGTTTCTCTCCACCATCACTAGGACTGAAAATTATCATTTCATCAATGTCGACAATCTTATTCACGTTCGCTCGAGCGCTTGACTCGCTAGCTGGTGGCGCTAAGTACCGGCGCCTTGTCGGCCGTCGGGACAACATTGTGTCAGACAACACAGCGGGCCGCCAGCGCCTGTTGCCGCTCCATTGTATTCTCGTTAGAGTTTGGCGCCGATTCAATGTCAACAGACGGCGCAGGAAGTCCTCCAAGTGGCGTCGAGTCGACGTCGACGGTGTCGACGTCGACTCGACGCACGAGCGGGGAGGCTCACGTCACCGAAGGAGCCTGTTCGTCATCACCGCCACCGTCGAAATCGACATCGTCGTAGGCGTCGACGTAGGCGGGGGCGTCGCAATGACGTCGCTCTATTAGTCTGCAGTTGATGAAGGGAGCGGTATGGGTATGCACGCGCCGCAATTAACGCCTCCCGAGAGACGTGTCGGTGCTGGATTGAACACAGAGCCATTGAGGGGGCCGAAATAGACGTGGACGCCGCGTCCTTCATCCAGAGCGGGCCCTCAATATACGGGATGACGTTCTAAAGTCGTGAGAAGGTGAAGGGGGATGACGTCTGAGAATGGACGGCCAGCAATAGTGTCGCTCAGTGTAGACCTGTTAGGGACGATTTATTGCCGCGACCCGTTAGGTGACTCTAAACAAAGTCAGGGTGCATTATTAATTGATGTTATGATTTATTATTGTAATTCTTTTATTTGTATATGTTATGCAATTTCACACATGACAAACTCCGTTCTGTATATGGATACTCGTACACATGTAGGCAAGACATGAGGACGTGAAAGTGCGAAGATAGCAAGCACAAACATACCCGATTTACCTTTTGTTCCAACGCATTGTCCGTTTATTTGTGATGGTTCACAAGCTAAATCATTCCAGATTGGCTCCTGTTTTCTTTCCCCACATCAACTCTATGAATAGCTTGCCAATACGAATCCAAGTATAGGGAGAGTATAATAGATTTATCTCTGACCATGCGGTGAATCAGCCTCGATGACGGGTGACCTCATTCCTCCCGCAAAAACGTCCGTGTTTCGGCTCACCGACTGCGAGTCGGCTCCGACGGTCGTCGACCAACAAAGGGGCCGTCTCGTGCCGCGGCGGGCGCCCATTTCCTGGCCGCATCCTGCCCGCCCGTCCGTCAGCAACTTTGTTTGCCGCAAATCCATTCAGCCTGTCCGCTTCCTCCCAGGAAAATCAACTAAATAATAGCAAAAGAAGTTCAGTCGAGCAGGTTCTTACATTGGTGAAGACGGTTTTTGCCTGGGTTCATCCGAGCTACTGAAAGAGCCTGCGTAATATAATTATTTCCATCTCCAGATGCAGGAAATAAGTTTACCGGTGTGGACGCCGAGACGGAATCCAAATGGCGAAGTTGGCTGGTGGGCCGCGCCGGGGACGTCCGTGGAGAGGAGGTCCAGATCGGAGTGCGGCTCTGCAGCCATTGTTGTTATTTTGGTGGCCGGCTGCTCCGAAACAGAGTCAGAAGTTATCAAAAGTTAGACGTCTCATTGTCCGGCTGTGGAATGGGAGCCAAATAGCCGGATGCTGCGGAACGTAACCCCCATTTTCTATGTAAGATCTCTGAAATTATGATTTTGGTTAAACACTGGAGTTTTCATGCATCCTTTTTGAAGTATTGTCAAATACAAAATCTACACTAAGCGGCATTACTATCTTGTCGGTCAGCATTTGTATTTGAGTGTTTTTTTTTTACTCATATTTTGTCATTTTATTGCAGCCATCACCTGACTATTCCTGTTCTAAGCGATATTTTCGGTCCCCGTCGGCTGTATTATTTTCAAAGACAAGTCGCGGTCCGTTTTTACCGTTGCACTTGTCTCCTACCCGGCGATCGGCCGATGTGTCCATTTATTGCGGGAGCTGAACACACCGGATCCGAACGTCACTCTATTTACAGTTTAGGGAGCACAAGCGCGTACCGCTCCACACGTCCCTCCGATCCCGTCTCCCGGGCCGCCGCCCGCCCAGCCAGGGCTAGCCGCCGACCCCGCCCCAGGGCCACGCGGCAGGGGCGGCGCCGGGCGCGGCCAGCCGGGGAGGCGCCGCGGGCGGCGCCAGGCGTGCCACAACGGGCGGCCACAGCCGCCCGTAACACCCCTCCCCCACATGAGCACGAGTCATCCCACGAGCACGAGTGACCCCCCGCATGACAACCACACCAAAAACAGCCTCAACAAAACACAACAACAACAAAAACGACAACTTCGAATCATACATTCATACACACCGTCCCGAGCGCCCTCACACATGCCGCCTAGCGTCGGCCGCGCCTGAGCCACCCCGGCAGGTAGTCCATCAGTCGCCGGTAGCCGGCGGCGCTGAGGTGGACCCCGTCAGCCGAGAAGAACCTGCCGTCCATCTTAAAGCGCCGTTTCCTCCCCTCCCGCCGGCAGAGGCGTCGGCCGAGCGCGACGAAAGTGGAGTCGGTCTCGCGGCACAGTTCGCACAGCGCCCGTTCGAGCCAGAAGGCCGGGGTGGACTCCCACACTCTGCCACCGTCGCGGGCCGGCCGCGGCGTCACGCCGAGGATGGTCACGGCGCAACCAAGGCTACGGGTGTCGATGATGGTCTCCTTCAGCCGCCCCAGCGTCGCCACCACCGTGACCGGGTCGAAGGCGGCCCCCCTTGGGTAAACGTCATTACCGCCCAGCCATAAGATGACTTGGAGGTCCGTCAGCTCCCCTTTCCCACAGACCCACGCCCTTACTTCGGTCGCGCTTGACCGCAGCCAGCGGCTCAGAGTCAGCCCGGGGACCGCGCACACGGACAGGCGCCGAGGGGGGTCACACCGGAAGTCCGCCCTGCTCAGCATAGAATCTCCTATTAAGAGCACGGCGGACCCCGGCGGACCAGCCTCCGGCGAACCGCCGGACCCCTCAGCGATGTCCCCCAAGCCAAAGTCCGTGTCGATCGGGTCGCCCAGAATCTCGCCCAATATGTCGGCACCGTCGACCCCGACTGAAGCCCCCGCCAGGATGGCGGCGGCCGGAGATACCGGCTCGCCCAGAATTTCGCCCAATATGTCGGCACCGTCGACCGCGACTGAAACCTCCGCCAGGATGGCGGCGGTCGGAGATACGGGTGGTCGTCCGCCGCCCTCCTCGCCGTCTCCCGGGCGTCTCCTGTCAGGAGACGGGAACGATTCTCCATCTGGCTGCGTCCCCCACATGGCTTCACCCGCGGCACCACCATCCGCGGGTGGGACCTCCACCACCACCTCCACCAGGTCCGAGTCCGACGGCGCCGGCGACGACCACAGTGCGGAGGACGGCATCTCCGTCACCACCTCAGTCAGCTCCGCGTCCTGCTGCACGATCAGCGGCAGCCCGGCGTCCGCGGAAGGCATACCACCTCCCGAGAGCCCTCTGAGGAGACCCTGAAGCTGTTCCTCCAGTCGCTCGCGCTCGGCCCTTTCCTCGGCAACAGCCGTCCAGAGGCTGTCTAGCTCCAGCCGCGTAGGGTCCATCTGAAACTTAAAAATACAATCACCTTTTGGTTCACGAGCACTTCTTAGCAGCACAAGTCAATATCTGCCCACCCACCCTACTTGATGTAACAGGGTCTTCCACTACTTTCGGTTTCGATCAGGAGGGACCAAATTTGATTTCCCGCCTGAAACCTTTGACACACATCCTGACCTAGTCACATAATAGACCGGTCACGCTCCTGTTCTGCCGCAAAACCGGATCGAGAAGACACATCGGTCGAGGTGGGTCAGCGCTGGAAGCGACTAACGGGCACCCACCTCGACTGCGGCCTCCCCTCCTCACGAGGGACACCTCAACTTTGTGACCCCGGTGTCCCGGACCTCAGCTGACCAAGACGCCCCACTGGGCAGTCCCGCCGAAAATGGTCAGGAGCACCACACCCGTAACACCCGCTAGTTTTGGACGTATCAGGGCTGAAACGAGCAACAGTGAGTGCCTCCAAGGACGACTGCAGCTGCCCAACCTCCTGTTGAAGCTGACTTACTGTGTCCTGGAGCATCGCGCGCTCAGTTTCGGCGTCGCGCTAGGCTAATGCTACCGACCCACTCGATGTTCGTTCCGTATCAGTGTTTCCTCCTTTATGTTTCAATAACTTTTACCTGTCTCATACAGGGGCCGCGCATAGTCGAGTGCGACACCATCCAACAGAGGCAATAGCCGTTTACCCTATCAAAAAAGCACGACGCTGTCTCACAGGCTAACCGCCTGCGATACTACTCAGTCTCTAAATAATAATAATAAATAATCAAGGCTAACCGCCCCGAAAAATGCCTGCGGTAACCCTACCGTCCCCTCATCCACCACTGATCCGAGCAGACCGCTCGGCTCCGGCCATTAGTTAATCGGCTACAGTCTAAACACAATCATGCCAAACGATAATAACACAACAGACTCACCGTTGCCGTCGCCGGTCCTACCGACCGCGCCAAATATTGCGGGAGCTGAACACACCGGATCCGAACGTCACTCTATTTACAGTTTAGGGAGCACAAGCGCGTACCGCTCCACACGTCCCTCCGATCCCGTCTCCCGGGCCGCCGCCCGCCCAGCCAGGGCTAGCCGCCGACCCCGCCCCAGGGCCACGCGGCAGGGGCGGCGCCGGGCGCGGCCAGCCGGGGAGGCGCCGCGGGCGGCGCCAGGCGTGCCACAACGGGCGGCCACAGCCGCCCGTAACACATTGTGTCCACGTCCTGTCCGCGTCCTGTCCGCGTCTTGTCCGTGTCCTGTCCGTGTCCGTTCGCGTGGCGTTCGCCTCGTGTCGCCTGTCGATCGCATCTCGCCGGTGTCGACTGGGCTGCGTCGGTTTTGCCGCGATCGGTTATCGGCCGCATGTCGCCAGTGTCAGCTCTCTCTACAGTGAGACAAAAACGGCGCAGCGCAGCCGCGACTCGGTCCCCGGCAGTTGCTCTGCTGATGCATTCAGTCGCCGGGTTTTTGCCGCGCTACCAGCACGTGTCTGCGAAGGAAGATCGCGTTTTCTGATCAGGCAAATGCTGACCAATAAATCGTCGTGCACTCTTGAAAAACTGTCGCTATAACCCAAGTACGTCCCAGTAATAGTTTTACTCCACCAATGTTTGGGTGCATTTTGCCGCTCATAAGAACGCTTGATTGATGGCAGGACGACACTCCCGCGGACGGGAAGTCTTCAATCGTCCGGACCGGTCCGTCCATATGCGAGCCGTTGCCAAACGTTCGGTCATCTCCCCATTTTCCTCCCCGACGTTGTCTTGTCGTCTCCTCCCTGCCATTCTGTCTGCTGCTCGGTCCAGTGAGCCGGACCGACTCCCCGGCCCTCCCCGGCCCGCCCTCGCCTGTGTCGCCGTCACGGACCGTCGAAAACGACGAACAAACACTGCCGCTGCGTCGACGGCGACGGGGACGGGCTCAGCGGGAATGGTTCTGAGGATGGCTTGGAGCTGTGGCGCTGGTCACGACTGCGGAAACAACACCACGAGAATCTCACGGACGGACATGGGTGTGGGGCGTGACACATCGGAGTAGACCGACCCAGGCGCCGCTGACACATACGGGAACATAACCGGAGCCAGCAAATCGTGAGCTCGTCGAGGTGGTGCCCTGGCACGTCCCTTCAGAGCAGCTCACTCACGTATCCTATGCACCTTCAAACATTGCTTTACTTAGCCCTCAAGTCTCTCTCACGTCCCCCATGTCTCTCTCACGTCCCTCACGTTCTCTGGGAGGGTGAGACCCGCCCCCTTTTCCGACGCCTCCTGTGGTGAGCTGCCAGTCAGCTCTTCCTGGAAACCCTCGCGTTGGTCGCCCCCGACCGGCGCCGGCTGTCGGCCCGGTCGGGTGTGATTCAGCCCCTCAGATTGACAGCCGATCGACGACTGGTTCCGATCAGACCCGGTCAGTGGGTCTCCCTTGGGTAGTGAGCAGGTCACGGTGCTACTTAGTGCTTCCATGTCCCATGACTTTACGACAGACACTTCTTGGCTTATGCACATTTATCCAGATTGAGAATTTCTGGTAGAAACATCGACGGTGTACGATCGTTGCATGAGTCATAAGCTTTCCTAACAAAATCCCACTCCTTGTCTTGATAATAGACACTTTCCGAGATTTCGATTCCTCCTCAGATTCTGACTTCCCATGTCTCCACGTCTCCACGTCCTCAGGTTTTCCCCTCGCCCCCACGTCTTCTCAGCAGCGCCTCTCTCCCCGGCGGTGGTCCTGCATCCATCTCACTGGCCACCGGCAGCGGTGACGCGCGGGGCGACGTCGCCCGCGCGCCTCCCCCAGCCGCCTTATTATTTTGGGCGGTGACTGCAGGCTGCGACGAGCGGCTTCGCATAATAGTGAAAAATTGGCGAAATACCCAGATTATCATGAGGAATGATGCCAGATTTGGTGTGGGGAGCCAAGCGGCCAACGGGAATTGGCTGTCGTCAGAGCCGAGCCCCACAATGGCTGTTGTTGAAGAGGGAAAGCTGAACAATGCGTATGGGGGCTTGTGATGGCCATATGACGATAAAGTATGAACAACCAGACGTAAAACCGTTCATCCGGAATGCGCAATTTAATTGTAAACGGAGCATGAATGGGTCGATGACTTTGACTAACGACTTCGGACTTGTCATGAACGCGGTTGTGATCAAACATTTCACAAATTACGTAATTAATCTGCCCTAATCTCCTCGTCCAGGTTCACTGGAGAGCGGCTTCGAACTGAGGCGCAGTTTATTAATTTCCAGCTCATCTCTAGCGTCCAATTTTTCAAGACAGCCGAAGTCATTTGTCTCGATGCCACTGAAGGAATTATTGTGTTTCGCACTCGTGTAGTGGAGTCGTGCGTTTATTGCAACACGCTCCCTGTACGTTTACAGTTCGGCTCCCCCTATAGGACCTTCTTCCGACGGTCGAGCAATTCCAGGAATGTCGGCCTCGGGTGGCTTGGTTCGTGGGTCCAAGTTGCGGGGGAGAGTCGGGACGCTCACCAATGTAGGTACTGGGTTTACGTTGCTGCTGAAGTCACTTGTTTGAAGTAGGCTAACTGTAATTGAACTGCCGATTTTCCCGACCGATTTTGGTTGTTACAACTGATTTTCCGTCTTCACCGATCAATGCTTATTTGCTCCTTTTTCATTATTGCAGATAAATCGTGGCTGATGAATGCCGACGCTCCCGAGTTTTCAATATTTTTGGGTCCAGAGCAATGAAATTAAGACAATTTGTTTCTAATCGGCAGAAGCGATCCAGACCAGCGTTATCTAGTGGCCTCGTTATGTCAGTAGACAATAGACACCTCAAAAGAATTCGGCATGTCTCACTGTCGTAAAATATACTGGCGCCGTAAGGAAATCGATGCCGCCACCAATGTCGTCGGTTCCGGACTTGTGTAAAGAAGCTGCATTCCTAAATATAACTTTATTCGTGCTGAAATTAACCCTCGCATGTGTAGGGGGGGGGGGGGGGTCGGATGGACCCCCCCCCATGGTTTTTCGCGAATAACTCGCGTAAAAAGCGGCCGATCGCGACGAAACTTTCAGTACCCTCGCATTGATCAATTTTACACCTACCCTGAAAATTTCATGACCCTGACCCAAATGACCTTTGACCTGTGACCTCTTTTCCGAGACCATGTTTGGCCAGAATCGCGATTTCGCGTATGTCGGCTCGCACTAGCCGCGTGTTTGCAAGCTTTTCGTGGTTTCAAACGTTCAAACATGTGATTTGATGTTACTCCCGTGTGTGTCAAGGTCACCTGAAGGTCAGGTCAGGTCATTGACCTTTGGTGACCTCGGGTGACCTCGGTTCACTTTTTCGAGTTTTACATGTTTCTAGGCTAGTTTTTGGAGCTGAATTCGAATTTAGCAACCATTTGAACATTTACGAAGTAGTTTTGGTGACTTCGTAACATGTTACGAAGCTGTCAGAGGCGGTTGACACGTACTACGAATACCCGTCACGACGCCTACTGGTTGACCTGACCTGACCTGACCCGACCTGGTCTAAATGCTTCAAGACATCATCTGTGATCAAAACTAACACGATATTCGTGATCAGCACCCCGAAAAACCCCTTAACAGCCACACTTTACGACTTTCTAACAGGTCCCGATTTTCCCGACTTTGGGTCATTGACCTGACCTGGAAGGTCAACCAATGACCTAGGACCTTAAAATTGGGTATCATCGGCTTCCTCTCGTCACGGGCAACACGCTCGTTTTTTCCGCGAAGCTCTAGCTCGATCAGGGGCCAAACGGCAAGGGGGGGGGGTCCAACCGACCCCCCCCCCCCTACACATTAGAAGCTGGCAAACGCCGCACACATGCGAGGGAATACGATTCAACCCTCATTCGACTTTTTTGCGCTCGAATTCGACTTTGCGCAAAATAAAACGACAGCGCTTAAAAGCGACAGTTGCCGCAAATTGCACACTCAAACTGCGCTGAAATACGACATTTCTTTCATGTCGCAAAATCTTCAAAGTTATGCATTCTAGGAAGCTCGCTGCAATGAAAAGAGGTAAATTTAGCCCCCCGGAATATGTGATAGTATCAGGACACTGTTTGATTCCGCCACAAATGAGAAAAACGCGATGCAGAACGATGCGGTGAAACTGCGCTCATTCGCGACAAATCGTGGGTAAATTGCGCCTGTATTCAACAGTCCTGTTGGAGCCTGAGTGGTCGAGCACTTTCCGTTTTTCTGTTCTCATTCGTTTAATTCGTAACCAATCTTTAAAAAATGATGCTCATTTGAAAGAGATTTTCTCGCTCGTCATTTCTGATGCATAATGCATACATTTGGTACATCACACTCACAACCATATGTACTTGAATTTTCAGATGAAGGATTTTGCCGCGAAGACGGAGTGGGTGTCGTATACCTTACCTAGATGTTGAGCTGGAATTCGGTGAACAAGTTTTTTTTAAATAATGACCTGAAGGTGACCCAAACACTTTTAATTGATAGGTGTGTTTGCAAAACGCATTCCGACAGCTTTTTTTCTGCTTTTAACACTGTATTTTTCTCGAAATACCTGTTTGAATAATTTTCCCGAGTCGACTTCAGGCGCAATTATCAGACACTTAGCCTAAAAACGACACTACCGAGTCAGATAAAAGCGCACTGCGCCATTTTACGACACTCTGCAGTATGATCCGAGCGCATATGCGCCCTTTCCAGACACTTTTATGTTTGATTTGGGCGCATTGCACTTACACTTGACGGCACAATTTACTTGACAGAGGCGGCTTCAGCCACTGGTTTTGTGGATTTAATGCCTTTTATGCTATACTTTAGCATGTTTAGATGTTAACGATCAGTTTTGTTGTATTTACTCTATGCACATACTTACCTGTTGCTTGCGCGGGACCCCTCTTCATTAGGCCTGTTATGCGTAAAGTATTAGCGGAGGGGATTTCCTTCGCAATGGTGTATGTGCTGCCAAATGTGTCCGTGTGGCGCTCAGCTGGTCGGTGTTGGCCGAGATATGAATGCATAGGTGTATGCAAGGCGGACGGCTCCAGTGGCGGTCGCAGGGGGGGGGGACATCAG